TCAAAATAACTTGCAATTCTTTAGACCAACCAGAGTACCCCCTCAGTATAGGATGGCTTGGAGGCATAAAACGTAATAAGGAATATTAAGGATTATCCGACGGAGGTTGCAACCTTTCACACACTTTGTGAAGGCGCTCACCAGAGAGTTGGTAATGCCTCTGAGATGCTGAATTCTTATTAAGCCTTATTAAGTATTATGCCTCTGGGCTGGCACTTGTCCAACTGACCGGACATGTGCCACTTGATATACTGTCGTTTCTTTCTCCTGACCTCCACTCGGGCAAACAACATGCTCCGAGAGATAGCGCTTACTAAGCTTTCAGCTTCCAGTGATTTGCAACTGCAAAAATGGTCGTTTCTTACATTCTCTTATATCGGCCGATATAAGAGAATTTAAGGAAGTCAACATTTGCCCTCCAACACGTCTTACTTTGAAGCCTTATTAAGGCTTTTTGTGCCTTGACAATGTTTACGATAGCTCTCCAAGTGCTTCTGTCTTTATGTGTTACTGCAACACAAACCTTGCTAAGATATTATATCTGGGGGGTGGACGGTGGGGGGTGGTATCTGGTCACCTATGACACCTGTAAATGGTCGCATGGACAGCGCTGCACCCTCTTGCATGGTGGCCCCCGGCGGTGAACCAAATCGGAACGTTTCCCACACAAATGGAGAAACATCGAGATTTCGATCGACCCAAACCCCAAAAAGTTGTGCATTCCTTCAGGATCACGCGGAGTGAGTCGACCCATGAAGTTCTCGAATTCGGTGGCAAATCCGTGTGGACCTTCCCCCCCTTTCGCTGCCATGTGTCACCAACTGGCGAATGGCTTCCGAGGTGAACGGTCTGGGCGCCTTGGGGAAGGGGAGATGGCGCGGAAGGGCCAAAAGGATAGGGGTTAAGTGTTTAGAGTCTGTAATTTAGATCTGATCAAGCGCCTTCTACACCTGCTAACATCGATAAGAAAGCATCAAATGATAGTTGGGGGTTAGAATTAGTGCGGGATGTGCTATACATCGCTATACGACGGAGCCACCATTGCAGTGAGACACCCCATAGTGTGGCAGCTGGCGGGTTTGTTTCACATCGTCCCATCCAAGCTGTCTGACGACACAACACCGCTGCAACATGCGCAACATTCATCGGTACCGGCACACCTCCGTGTGCCGCAAATGACGGTTTCCCACAATGGAGCTGCGTTCCTGGCGCTCAGAGGGCGCTTTGGTCGAACAGAAACATCATCCAGTTGGGACCGTCGATGTTTGGGCTGTCAAACTCCACTGGGTTGGATGACGAGATTGATTCTTGGATTCAGTTCCAAGCAAAAGCACTAGGGAACGGCGGTTGGGACGAATCCAACTCCCGTGTGGACGATCACTGAAAGAATGCGGAGCATGGAGTCGCAACTGTAGATTCTCCCCCTGATGGTTCTCTCGGGTAAAGCCAAACCTCGGCCAAACCATCCAAAACCATGAGCAAGTACCTCCCAAATCCTCCAAACCGGGGAGTTCCACGCGACACATGCGAAAAACAAGCACTAGAAAGCTTGTGCCGCAAGCACTCGGCCGCCGTATCGGAATACGGAAAGTGTGGCCTGCTTTTGACGCTCCAGCTCAACGTGCCGTTTCCGGCGCCTCAATAACTTGCCCCACTCAGCTCGATCACAAACATCCAACAAACTTGATGTTTTCGTATCTGCACGAAGCGATTTGTATCGAACATGGTATATTCTGACACCGAACCATCGAGTGTGAAGTGACATATTGAAAACAATCGTCAATTAGGTGTAGTGTAGTATGGTGTAGTTGATGGCAAAACTGCAGAAAACAGAAGGTCCAGTTTGCTAGTAGTAACAGGTGCCACGCTAGTAGTAACAGGTGCCTTAATGCCTTACTACTAGGAACAAGAAGCTACTAGGGGCTCCTGTTCTGATCCTCTCAGTTGCAGCTCAGGCACTCGAAGCGTCTTTGCTCCTCTCACTGGCATGGTCATGGCATAAAGGCTTGCAAAGGCTTGCAACTGGTCCATGCCGGTGGTGTACCGATGGCAGGATTGGGGCAACCCAACATGTTGGTGATCGCCAAGCAGCCTGTGCCACCAGCAGCTTTAAAATCTAGTAGCTGCTAGTAGTGGTCTCCTTGGAATTCGCATTTGTTCAAGCCGCCTAAGGTTTCGGGTCACCCCAAGATGCGGTTCCGGACATCACACCCCAAACCACTAGACCACCTGCTTGCGCCAGCTAAGAGTGTGCACCCTTCCCCCTGTGCAGTTCGTGCAGTTCAGCTACTGCTCCTGTGCTCTGCGGAGCCGTTCGCCTCGGAACGCGAAGTCGCCTCAGCTCTCCGCTGAGGGGAAAAAGGGACACATTCCGAAAAACCTAATATCTAATTGAAAAGTTCAACTGTTCATTTGAAAGTATATGTTTCCTTTCTGAATTTCCTGATCATGCACATGTCATTCGTAATAAATATATCCCCCGAACCAGACTTGAATGGCTCCCCATTCCCAAAGTTGGTGAATTCTGCGAGGCGCAATGCCCAAAATGGTCTTTGGCGGTTCGCCACGAGTTCCGGGAGGCTGCAATTAGATTCATAAAATTGTTGATGTTCCATCTGCATTGCAAACTGTATTGGTTTCTTGGTGTTCATGCTTGGGCTACCTCAAGCTACCAACAGCCCCTAATTTCACAGTAGATTTGGCAGGACAAATCCCGAACTTGCTTGCAGAAATGACTGCCAAACGCATCTTTATATAAGAAACATCGGTTTCACCCTTACTCCTGTGAATTTGGATGGCTGCTTTAAAAACTTTAGGCTCCTACCAGATTGAGGGGATCTACAGTACTGGGTGCTTCCACCCCTCGGCTTGCTTCTCACTACCGCCCTTCAGGAAAACGCTCGCCCTCGGAACCCTTCCCTCCGGGCCACGGTCCATGGCTGTTGGAGTGAACTTTTCACCGGTCCATCCCAACAGAAAACCCACTTCCTCGACCTCAGCGAGGCGGGCATAATCCGAGGCACCGAGCGGTCGGTCGTCACTAGCGGTCTGGAGCTATGCAACGTATGGAGTTGGACATGCTTGGACATGCGGCGGCGGCTGAAACAGCCTCTGACATGCCTTTTTAGAGGTGGTGAAATCTTTGGACAGCGCTAGAAGCTGTGCTCCTTTCGGCACTTCATCTGGCTCATTCCTCGTGTTCCAGCTGTTTAGTGCAAAAGACTCGAAAATCCATGGATTTTGCCAACGAACTTCACCGGGCCACGGTAATGAAACCACCCCGATGTTCATCCAAGGCGTTCCACAGGATCTCCACATCTCCTTGGTTGGCTCAATTCTGACCACGTCAGACACGTGGAGCCGCCGAGAACAATCACGTCAAGCTTCGATTAGAAGGACCAGGTTGGACACACGCGACCATTATATGCAGATTATATCTATAAGTATACATATGGTATACCACAAGTCAACGCTAAGCCGCTAAGAGTATGTGCTGCTGACTGACCTATATGGTCTGCAGAAGTTGCTCCAATCAAGTGCGAATCTCTCGAGACATTCTGCTCCAAGGCACCAGTGTAGTCACAGTTTGCTAAAAACTTTGCCTCGGATGAGCTCTGAAGAGTTCCGGGGGCAAAAAGACACACACATGACTCTTCGCAAAGGACGCCCCCCGGGAATATCGGCATCATGTGGTCCTCAACATGTCAACCCATTTCTCCGGTAACTTTAGAGCAAATGTCTGAATGATGTCATTTTTCCCAAGTGAGAAATCACTCAGGCAGATCGATTCACAGTAATTCAAGTTGTGTGTCATCATTCTGTGTTGCAACGTCCAAGCAGCATGGCC